GATTGCGGCGTGACCATCCCCCCTGGGGGGTGATTTCTCGCTTTCTGTCTCTATGTCTCTCTCTGTCTGTCTGGCGAGCGCACGCGCCCTACAGTGAAAATCTCTCTCAAAAAAAAAAAAAAAAAAGGGATGCAGAGTCACACTTGTCATTCAGACAGCTGCTGGGCCGGTCCCCAGACTCACGGCCACGGTGTTCATTCCACACCCCTGTCGCCCTAGGCTCCTCTATCTGAGATGTGCAAACAAATCCAGACAGGACCAGTCGGCAGCGTGTGCCGCGTGCTGCCTCCTGACCAGTCTGTGTGACACCATCGGGGCGATTCTGGCCAGACAGCTCACGATCCAGGTGCGTCGGGCCCTGGGGACAGGGGCTCAGTCTCGCACAGGCCTGACCTGCCTTTCTCTGCACAGCTGTGGAGACCTCTGTCTCAGTCCTTCACCATGCAAGGCACGGCGTCGCCTCGGAGCCTGTGCCCTTGCTGCGCTTTCTGCCCACCCCAGGTGTTCCTGCTCCCAACATCCACGGGCTCACTGTCACTCCTCTGAGCCTTCGCTCAGAGTCACCTTCTCCGTGTGGCCTTCCCTGTTTAAAATTGTGAACTGCCTCTTCACCAGTGCACCAGATCCGCATCCTAGACTGCTTTCCCCATAGTTTAACCTCTCGTATCCCCTGTACTTTACTTTCTTGTTATCGCATGTAGCGTGCTAAGCCCCTCTCAATGCCAGCACCGCAAGGCCAAAGGTTTATTCACTGCCGTGCCCCCGTGACTTGGAACAGCGCGTAGCGTGTAGTAGATGCTCAGTAGATGGTTGTTTCTGCTGTTTTTAGACTCCTGAGCTCAGCTGCAGCTCATGCGAGAGCAGCTGAGTTCCCAGGCGACTGGGCTTTGGAGTGAGTGAGAAGCACTTCCGGGTTTCCCAGAAGTCCAGGCCCTCAACAAAACTGTAGGAGAGTCCACTCCCAAAATACGCATCCCAAGGGAAACCTGTTTGGCCTCCCTGCAGGGGGTCCTCACAGGGCAGGTTTGGGCTTGTGCCCATCCTGTAGAAATGAAGGTGGGAAGTCCTGGTGGTCAAGACACAGATTTGGAGAGTTCTAGACCCCACTTTGGGCAGTGTTGTTTCAGAAGCAAATCACCTTTCATTTTGGGTGGCCATTCTCATTAGCTGATAGAATGTAATGAGACATAACTCAAATCCAATCATAATAATAAACATTTACTAAATACTTAAATAGGGCCAGCCCATGACCTGCTGGTTAAGGATGCTGGGTCCCACATGGCCAACCACATGGTTCGAGTCCTGGACTTGATGGCTTAAAAAACACCCCAGGTGGGACCAGCAGATGGCGTATAGCAGTTACACCGCTGGACCATGTCATGGCCAACTTCTGTTTGAGTCCCGGACCCGGTGGCTTGAAACTCATGTTGGGTGCGTGTACATGTGTAGCCAAGATCCTAGGAGAAGAATGGACAAGAAGGGATTGCAGCGTGGCCATCCCCCTGGGGGGTGATGTCTCTATTTCTGTCTCTTTGTCTCTGTCTCTCCAATGAACGCATGCACCATATAGCAAAAATCTCTCTAAAAGAGAAATAATAACTTGGGATCTGTCATTTTCACAGCCCCAACTCCTCATCAGTCAAATGGAGACCGTGATGGCCCCTCTCAGGGCTGGGGTTGGTGGGAGGCATCTCTGACCACCGTGGTGCCACTGTGTGGCGGGGGGCCCAGAACAGTAGGCACTGTGGTTGCTGGAAAGCGACGTTCGAGCACCAATGCCCGATTTCCATTTGCTCCAGGTTTTCACTGGCGCTTACCTAGCAGCTGTTGACTTGGCGAACTTCATGTCCGTTCTGTTCCCGGTCTGTGGATCCGAATCCAGGTCCCGTGGAGGTGAGTGTGTGGCTGTCTGCTCTTGCCTTCATCGTCCACTGCTCACAGCGTCTCTGAGGGCCGTCTCCTTGTCGAGTCACGCACTGGCACACAAGTACGTGAGGTGCCTGACTCCCACCAGGCCTGAGAGGTGCGTGCACCTGTGGGCAGCCACAGGCGGGGAAGCACGTGACACTGGACGTGGGGCCACAGGCCAGAGCTCTGAAGGCAGCAGGACAACCCAGAGCCGTCCTTGGTCAGCACAGAGGTCCGGGTGGTCGAAGGACGCCCAGGACTTCTGGAAATGGGTGCCATCGGCATGAACCCCCACAGGCAGAGCAGGGGCCGGAATGACTGAGCCAGGGTGGGGGTCCCCAAGATCTGAGACTGGGGCTTCCTGAGAAGGGGCAGTAGCGTGCTTGGGCCTTTGTCCAAAGCGAGGCGTGCTGGCCTCTGTGGGCAGCGTCCATGCCCTCAGCTGTTCCGTGCAGCCCAGGAGGGAGGTCTTCTTCCAAGAACTGCTCCCAGGAGTGTCTGCCTTATATCCCAAGGACCCTCGAGAGAGCGTGCTGAGGTTTGTCCAGTTCACACTGTAGATGCTTTGGCACAAACTCCTTCCCTCATCAACGCATTTACCAAATCCTTACCGGTTCTGCTCCATGAGCTTCAGAAACCGCCGGGCCGGTGCCTGCCCTGGGGTTCTGGCCCGCAGCAGCTGTGCGTCTGCACACAGATGACGTGCTAAGCGTGGTGTCCTCGCTGCTGGAGGAGAGCAGGGCCCACGGTGGGGCGAGGGGGGGCAGAGGCTTCTCGAAGAGGTGGCACAACCGAAGACCCTGAAAGGTGGGGGGAGACGGCCTGCAGAGTTACCAGGGACCTGTTTGGGCCTCGGGGTGAAGTTGGCACCAGTTCTTCTCACGAAACAATCCGACTGGTCAGGCCCTGGCTCCCGGGAACCGTGTGGGATTTTGGTGTCTGTCGCAGGTCGGGCCACCAGAGAGAGGAAGAGGAGGCGGCGACTTCGGGCCAGCGTACCGGTTCTGCTCCATGAGCTTCAGAAACCGCCGGGCCGGTGCCTGCCCTGGGGTTCTGGCCCGCAGCAGCTGTGCGTCTGCACACAGATGACGTGCTAAGCGTGGTGTCCTCGCTGCTGGAGGAGAGCAGGGCCCACGGTGGGGCGAGGGGGGGCAGAGGCTTCTCGAAGAGGTGGCACAACCGAAGACCCTGAAAGGTGGGGGGAGACGGCCTGCAGAGTTACCAGGGACCTGTTTGGGCCTCGGGGTGAAGTTGGCACCAGTTCTTCTCACGAAACAATCCGACTGGTCAGGCCCTGGCTCCCGGGAACCGTGTGGGATTTTGGTGTCTGTCGCAGGTCGGGCCACCAGAGAGAGGAAGAGGAGGCGGCGACTTCGGGCCAGCGTATTTGCTCTGGCACTGCCGCTGAGCCTGGGTCCAGGCTGGGCTCTCTGGGTGGCTGTCCCAAAGGCTTCGGCCTCCATCCGAGGGCCTCAGCGGAGGCTGCTGGGAAGCCTGCTGCAGGTGAGGCCGAACCACGCGGGGTGGCTGTGGGGAAGTGCACGACCCTCCCTCCTGAGGGGGGTGCGGGTGGAGGGAAGCTCAGCCCTTGCCATTACTGAGGGGAACCTCCCAAAAGCAGAAGAGGACTCGCCGGGCTTTGCTGCTTGCTGGGGCACAGGCCCAGCCTCCGCAGAGCGCTGAGTGTCCCGTCGCCTGTTTTGCAGGAGAACACGGAGATTCTGGGTTACCTGCTGGGCGGCATCGCTGCCTTCGGCTCCTGGGCTTCCCGGATCCCTCCACTCTCCAGAATCGTGAGGCTGGGGGTGGCGCTGGGACTGTGGGTCTCCTGGCAGATGTTAGGGTGTCTGGGAGTGAAGTGGGGTGTCATCGCGTGTGTAGACACACGCACGTGCATGTACTTGCATTATCTCTCAGGAGCAGCATGCATATGCCAGCATTGAGAAAGGAGGCGTGCGCATGCGTGGAGAGCAGGCCCCGGCCAGGAGGTCCTAAGGACCCAAGGCCACCAGGGAGCGCCCACTGTCCTTTCCTATTCTGGTGGCACGTGGGTAGCGGGTTCCCAGGAAAAGCTGTGAGGGCTGGACATCAAGTGTCCCGCTAGAGAGGGGAAGGTTCCAGAGGCTCAGCTCCTCACCTAGAGCAGATCCGGGAGTTGAGGAGCACCTCACCGGCAGGGGCCCTCCAGCTTGCCAGGCAGGGAAGCCCTGTCACCTGTCCTGGCCCCGGCAGAGGCAGATGTGAGCTGAGACGTGCTCTTGCCCTCGGGGAGCTCAGTGTCAAGGACGGCACAGACATTGAAACAGGATGTTTTAACGCTCTAAGAAAGATAGAAAAAGAGCGAGAAGGCCCCCACGCTGTTCAAATGGGCAAGGCCAAAAACTGTGTACAGCCAGGCTGGGGGGAGGGACAGTGTCAGGGGAACAGAGAGGAGATGGTGGTAAGGAGGCTCAGGCCAGGGAAGGGCAGTCGCAGAGAGAGGCCAGAGAAAGCCCTGACATGGGGACGCACCTGGAAGCAGCGGGGGATCGTGGCCTCGCGATACCGCCCTGCCAGGTATCTCAGCAGCCAGCTCTGGGACAGCTGTCCTGTCTTGCTGACTGAGTTGGTCCCCAGCCCTGAAATGCAGCTGTGACAGGCCCGTCATTCAGTCTAAACACACTCTTTGCCCGAGAGCATCGCGTTTTCTGGGGATGCCAGGGAACAGGACTGGGGGCGGTGGGTGGTTGGGGATAGTCTGCGTGGAGCTGCTGGCCGTCACAGCCAGCAACCTCCCAAGGCTGGGCTCACCAGCAGGTGTCCCAGCTCCAGGTTAAGGGGCGCCGGACTCCAGCAGCCCACGGAGGTGGGTCTCTGGGTAGCATGGGGGCTGGGGAGCCACATGGCATGGAGACTTTGATGGAGCTGGCACGGGGCCCTTTCAGACAACTCAATATAATTGGAACTATATAGTATTGGTATATAAAGTGACTATCATTTGTAAAGACTACTTACATATAAATGTCACAACTATTTCCTTTATTTATTTAAGTTTTTTCCATGAGAAAGAAGAACTTGATAGGGTTTGGCCATGCCGTGATCCTCCACCAGCCTCCCGGACAGCCAGGTCGGGTGCCCACGGTGTGCCCAGAGTATTCAGGTTGGCCTGGGATCCGAACCCAGGCCCTCCCGTGCGGCTCTCGTCCTGTAGCACCCTACCACCTGCACACCCTTGCCGGGCTGGCCTTTTTTGTTCTTTTTCTTTGAACCATACAATGACTTGTTCTCCAAAAATATCCCCTTGACTTCAAAAACTTTTGGAATATCATCTCTCGTTTCCCTGGCCTTCCCTACCTGATCCGACTCAGGACTGGTGCTGGAGGTCCCAGGAGCGGAAAGGTCGGCCCTGGCTCTTCCTAATTCTGCCTCCCTCACGTTCTCCCAGCCTACTCTCAGGAGCCCCTTCCTGGCGCCTGGTGCGGGGCACTGAGACTGTGAGGCTGGCCGCCCCACCCTCAGGAGCCCTCTGAGCGGAAGAGCTGGTCAGGATCAGTAAAGGACCCCTCTGCTCAGGGCATGTCAGGTGTGACGGGGCCCCTTCAGGTAGAGGTGGGTAGGTTTCCCAAGCTCAGTTTAAGCCAGGTTCTGAGGGATGAGTAGGAGTTCATCAGGCAAAGGAAGTGGCTTGAGCCGAAGCTGGAGGTCTGACAGAAGCCGTGCCTTGGGGACTGGCTGTGGGGAGTCTTACCCAGAAGTGCTTCCTTTCAGTCAGTGGGAAGTGGCCCGCCCTTCCCCTTCCTGGTCGCCAAGGAGGGCCTGGGTCTGTGGACGGGGATTCCTCCCTGCCCAGCTCCCTCCTCTCTGTGCCCAGTGCCGAGGGAAGACGTTTCCCTCCATCCACCTGTGGACCCGGTTCCTGTCGGCCCTGGCTGGTCTCCTCTATGCCTCCGCCATTGTGGCCCATGACCGGCAGCCTGAGTACCTGCTGCGGGCCACACCCTGGTTCCTGACCTCCCTGGGCCGTGCTGCGCTGGACCTCGCTGTATCCGTGGACCCCGGAGTGACTGCAGGCAGCCTTGCCCCACCCCTCCCCGCCCAGCCCTCCCTCGTTCCTTCTTGCTAGATGGAGTTCTCCCAGCAGTCAGGAGACACTTAGAAGCCTGGGACTGGCAGTTGCAAATGCAGTTGTCTTTGTTTGCAGGTTGTGTCCCCCCCCCCTTTTTTTTTTTTTAATAAGAAGACATTCTGTCTTGGCTGGAGCTCTCTGAAGCAGTGAAAGGAAGCTTGAGGTTCCCACCCTCGGGTCAGGAGACCCAGGCTGCACTTTCAGCTTTGCTTCCTGCCTGGGCACCTCATCCTGGTAGCTCCCTACCCTGGAGAACCTCTCTTCCTGTCTCTGCCCTAGCTTTCTGGAGAGGCTGGGATCTGGCTTTGCAAGCTGACCAGCCCCCCTGCCACGCAGGGCTAACTATTCCCAGTGCTCCCCATCCTCTGTGATGCTCAAGCCTCGGTCGGAGAGGCAGAGGGGAAAGCGGACAAGCGCTGTCACTGGGCAGTGACCGCTGAGCCTCCCTGGTTCCACAGGGTGCTGCCACGTGTGCTGACACCCACATGACCTTGGCATGCAGCTTCAAGGACAAGCTGTGTTCAGACAGTGGGCGGGGTGGGAGGGGATTGGGGTGTGCTGACAGTGGGGAGTGGCTTCGCAGTGGTGGTGCTGTGTGCTAACCCCGGAAGTCAGATCAAGGCAGGATTACATCTCTCCAGGAGGAATCTCTCCTTGCCTCTTCCCTCCTTTCTTTTTTTCTTTTTTATTTTTTTAAAGAATTATTTATTTAATTTTATTTGTAATTATTATTTATTTTTTAATTTGACCAGAGAGAGAGAGAAAAGGAACATTAGAAAGCAAGCCACCAGTGGACCAACAATTGGCGTAGAACCAACAATTGGCATAATGGCTATGTCACTGGACTCCCACGTAGTTGACTACAGTTGGAGTCCCAGACCCGGTGGCTTAAACTCACGCCGGGCACGTGTGCGTGTGTGCCCAAGATTCCGAGAGGAGAATGAAGGAGAAGGGATTGTGGAGTGGCTGGGGGGGGGGCTCTCACTTTCTGTCTCTCTGTCTCTCTGTCTTTCTGGTGAGTGCACACACCCTATAGCAAAAACCTCTCCAAAAAAAGAAAAGAAAGAAAGCCACCAGGTCCGGGATTTGAACTGCAGTTGGTCATGTGGGAGTCCAGCACCTTAACCACCACGCCTCCTGCTGGCCCCTCCTTGCCTCTTTCAACTTCTGGTGGCTCTGGTGCTCCCTTGGCTTGTGGCATTGTCATCTTCATAATTTCTGTGAATCTGTCTGTCTTCTCTTCTCTCTCTCTAATTTGCCAGAGGGCACATGTACTTGTGGAGAGAGGCCAGGGTGGGGGGTAGGGGGTGAGGAAGCAGCCCCCCACCATTAGGGATGGTCACACCACAATCCCATCTCCATTTCTCCATCCTGTCGGGAATCGGGGCATGTGTGTATGTGCCCAGTGTTTCTCAAGCCGCTGATCCGGATTTGAACTGTTCAGTTGGCCATGTGGGATCCAGTTCTCTCACCCACCAGGTCATGGGCCGGCCCCTCTTTCCTTACAAGGACTCACATCCACTATGACTTCATCTTAACTAGTTACGTCATCAAAGACTCTGCCTCCAAACATGGTCACGTGCTGAAGTACAGGGGACAGAAATTGGGGGAACACTATCCAACCCACTGCCTGTACCGTCCCTATAAACCAGGCTCGTCAAGGCAAGTGCTCTTCGAAACGCTCCTGTGTAGCGTGTATTGCCACGTGCCCTCGAGGGACAGGGTCTTGCTGGGTGTGGGCTCTCAGGAGGACAGGCGTGCAGAGTCGGGCCTGGCCCGTCCTCAGAGGGTCTCAGGTCTGTGTGGGCAGACCCAGGCAGGGCGATGCCATGAAGGGGTGAGGGCAGAGGGAGGGGGCTGCCAGTGGGGGTGCTGGAGAGGCCCAGGGCAGCAGTAGGCAGCTGAAAGTGCTCTGCTTCCTTCTACCTTAACGGCCATCGGCTCAGATCATTTTCCTGTCGTGTGTGATGAAGAGCAAGATGAGACGGGCCTTGGGCTTTGCCGCTGAAGCCAGAGAGGGCCCCGACACCCAAGCCCTTTTGACCTGTGCAGAGAAAGAGGAAGAAAATCTGGAGGCGAGGACCGAGGACAAGGTCTCTGGTTGAAATTCTTCTGACCCCACCAGCATGTGGCCTGGAGTGGGCAGGGGTAGCCAGCCTCGATAAGGGCCGGGCCTTGGGAATTCTGAAGGTGCCTCTGTTCCAAAAGCTTGTGCTCATGTCCAGTTAGGCCACCCTGAAAATGATGAGACCCTTTGCTTCCTTTGCTTTCCAGTCATAAGTGTTTTTTGTTTGTTTGTTTTGTTTTGTTTTTGAGAGTTTTTTGCTATAGGGCACATGTGCTGGCCAGAAAGAGAGAGACAGAAAGTGATAAATCACCCCACCCTCACCCCGGAGGAGATGACCACACCGAAATCCCTTCTCCATTCTCCTCTTGGGATCTTGGGCACACATGCACATGCACCCAGCGTGAGTGTAAGCCACCGGGTCCGGGTCTCAAACCACGGTCGACTATATGGGAGTCCAGCAACATAGCCATTATGCCAACTGCTGGCCCCATCCAGTAATAAGGTTTTAAAACTTTTATCGGCCACTTAATGAACGTAATATACTTTTAGTAATGTAGATAAAATAGTCCTATGTCTTTTTTTCTTTTTTTTTTTTGGAGAGGTTTTCGCTATAGGGCGCATGCGCTCTCCAGACAGACAGAGAGAGACATAGAGACAGAAAGCGAGAAATCACCCCCCAGGGGGGATGGTCATGCCGCAGTCCCTTCTCCATTCTCCTCTTGGGATCTTGGACACGCACGCACATGCGCCCGGCATGAGTTTTAAGCCACCGGGTTTGGGACGCGAACCGTGGTCGACTACGTGGGAGTCCAGTGACATAGCCATTACGCTAACTGCTGGTTCCCAATGTCTTCTTATACTATTTAGTAACAGATTTATTCATACATAAATTCACCTGCTACATAAATGATTGATTTAAAATAGTGTGATTTCCCAACTCTTGTTACAACACAGTCCCTCCACTTTCCCATCATTTTTTTTTTTTTTTTGGAGAGGTTTTTGCTATAGGGCACACGTGACATACCACTGGTAAGAGTTCCTGTGTGTCTAGGGAAAACACTATTCCCTCTAACGATTAAATCAGGTGACCTCCACAAATAGTCAGAACTTATCACTATTATTTTTTAAATAAGACGACGAGAGGGAAAGTGAGAAATCACAGCCTCCCGCCTCCCCCCGTTTGCCCTCGGGGATGGCCACACCACAATCCTTTCTCTGTTCTCCTAGGATTTGGGGCATGCATGCACATGTGCCTGGCATGATTTTCAAGCCACCGAGTTCAGGACTTGAATTGCAGTCAACTATATGGGAGTCCAGCACCTTTACCACCATGCCGTCTGTTGGCCCTTATTCTTTTCTTTTTTTTTTTTCCTTTTTAAAGATAGCATTTGAGGGAACCAGCAGTTAGCGTAATGTCTATGTCGCTGGACTCCCACGTAGTCGACCGTGGTTCGCGTCCTGGACCCGGTGGCTCAAAACTCACACCGGGCGCATATGCGTGCGTGCCCAAGATCCCGAGAGGAGAACGGAGAAGGGATTGCGGCGTGACCATCCCCCCGGGGGGGTGATTTCTCGCTTTCAGTCTCTATGTCTTTCTTTGTCCCTTTCTGTCTGGTGAGTGCACACGCCCTATAGCGAAAACCTCAAAAAAAAAAAAAAAGATAGCATTTGAAATAGATTTTAGAATACCTTTTTATTGCCAGAGGCTTTGTGCACTCACTATGAAGAGAAAGAGAGAGAGAAAGCACCCCCACTGGGGTGTGGTCATGCTGCGGCCTTTCCTTCCATTTCTCCTTCTAGTCTGGATTTGGGTCATGCATGCACTCACACACCTGGTGTGTTTCTTCAAGCCACTGGGGCTGGGATTTGAACCATGGCCGACTCTGTGAGCTCTGGCTGCCTACGTACAGAGCTTAACCACTGCACTATGGTCTAACCCCAGATTTATTCTAACTGCAGCAGTTTGTCTTCATTGAAAGTTCTTGGTTCTGAATCACTGAGAAAGTGCCGCAGATACAGAAAGCTAGTGAGGGAACCAGCAGTTAGTGTAACGGCTGTGTGGCTGGACTCCCACGTAGTCGATCGTAGTTCAAGTCCCGGACCCGGTGGCTTAAAATTCACGCCGGGCGCATGTGCGTGCGTGCCCAAGATCCCGAGAGGAGAATGGAGGAGA